CCTCCTCCTCCTCCTCTTCCTCCTCCTCCTACTCCTGCCTCCTCCTGACTCCTCCTCCTCCTCATCCTTCCCCTCATGCCTCCTCCTCCTCCTCCTCCTGCCTCCTCCTCCGCCTCCTCCCCCTCCCCCTCCTCGTCTTCGCCATCGGCGGCGACTCGCCGTTTTGGGCTGGGACGCTCGTGCCTGCGACGCCAAGCTTCTAGAAGCAGGGGGCGCTAACGGCACAGAGAGAGCAACGATCGGAGTGAGGAGCAGACGTTCGCTCGCTCGCTAAATACGACAAAAACATGCCGTTTCAAGAGGCGAACGCTTTCTCATTCGGCGTTTCGGCATTGGGCCGGAGGGGGGGGGAGAGTGGGCGGTGGTTGGTTGGCTCTGGACCTCTGCTTGGTGCGCCTGTTTGCCGCAGTGCGCCCGGTGGGGGCGGCCCCGCCATCTCGAAACAGGCGCCCCAGACAGCCACGATCTGCGCAATGGGGGGGGGGGAGCGGGGGCCCAGCGCCGATCGGCAAGACAATGAATAAGAATGATCACGAGGAGGAGGAGGAGGTGGAGGAGGAGGAGGAGGAGGAGGAGGAGGAGGAGGAGGAGGGAAGAGTAGGAGGAGGAGGAGGAGGAGGAGGAAAAGGCAGGAGGAGGTGGACGAGAAGGAGGAGGATGAGGATGAGGATGAGGAGGAGGAGGAGGGAGGGAGGGAGGGAGGGAGGGAGATGGAGGAGGAGGAGGAGGAGGAGGAGGAGGAGGAGGAGGCAACACCCCTGCTTGGTTCCGCTGCGAGCTGCTTCCACCAACGTGCCCTCTCCGAGGGGAGGCCAGACGGCCTGAGAGGCTTCTACTAAGGCCCCCAAGACGTCCCGAAAGGAACCCACGATGAGCAGTCCAAGCGTCTCCAAGACCCCCTCCCCAAGATGGCCACCCAGACCCCCAGGATGCCCCCAACCAAAACGCTCAATGAAGCTCCTGGGAGGCCCAATTCGTCTCCCTGGAAACCTCATCACGTGTCCAGGTCGCACTCCGCCCAGCAGGCGTCGCGGCGGCCCACCCTGGGCCCTGGGAAAACGATGCGTCCAAGACCCAACGCGGGGTCCGTGGTGCAACGTCAGCCAAATAATAACCGAATGGGAAAACGCGTGGCTTGGTGCCACCCCAGTCCGCAACACAAACGCATATCTTTGTGTTCGACTGTCTTCGCAATCAGTGACTCCTCCTGCAGCAGGGGAGATGAAGAAACGGATGCTGACAATGCGAGGGATGAGGAAAGAGGAGGCAAGCTGACGCTGGGAAATCATAATAGTGGTTGACGGGAGAAAAGAATAGTAGTTGGAAAACAAAGTGACGGTGAGGGGGGAGGAGGCGCATCAGAGGAGAGGGCCCTCCTCCTTTCCCTTCCCAGCTTCACCTCTTCCCTCCCTCCTCCTCCTCCCTCTCCCACCTGCCTGCGCCTCATGCTTCTATTCCCCCTCATGCTTCTCATCCTCCCTCAGCTCCCTCAGCAACAAGGGGCCCCCGAGAGGCCCCCCCGAGGGGGCTCCAAACATGCCCCCCAGGGGCCCATCAAGAGGCCTCCGAGAGGCCCATCCCAAGAGACTCTGGCACACAACCCAGACACCGGTGGCGGGATGGGCTGGCCTACCACACTATGCCTCCCTGTCTGTGCGCGAGGGCGGGTCCTCCGAGACCCACTTTCGTAAGGTACGTGATGCCGTAAGCACTCGATTGTTCGCCAGCTATGCAGAATATGCCGTTTCAAGGTGAGCGTTTTCTGATCCGGCGTCTCGACGTAGGGCGGAAGGGGGGCGGGAGGGGGGGGGTCTGGTTCTGGATCTGAGCTTCATGCCGCTGTTTGCAACAGTGCGTCCTGTGGGGGAGACCCCACCTGCTCAAAATAGGCGCCAAAGACAGCCAAGATCTACACCATGGGGGGCATGGGAGGTGCGAGGGCCCGCGTTGATCGGCATCACGATGAATATGAACACGATCACAACATTAAACAAGACAGTTAGAAATATCACTGCCAATCTTCGTTTTCTTAGATGTCTACAACTTCGATAACTAAAGAGGGTCCATCGCGCGTCGGAAACAACGTTTCCCGATAGCCGATGAGATTGCTAGGGCTAGCCGCCGTGCCTCAATGAGGCACTGAGCGGAGTGTCCTCGAGTCCTCTCGTCTTCAATGCTGAATATATTGTGAACACCCTGCGAGAACCCCTGAGAAGAGCCTTCCTGGGAGTGCCTGAGCGGCTCTGGCTCTACTCGTGGGCGCTGTTGGAGCTGTGACGTTTCCCCGAGTTCCTTGACATGCTGATTGTTTGGGATCCAGACTTCCATCGTGCCTGAGGATCGTCCCAGGGAGCCATTATAAGGGGGAGCCATTTTAGGACACACAAACAAACAAATACACACAAATCCCAAAATTCCCACCATAGTTTCCCATGTGCTCTGGGTTTCTGTCTTCCCCCCACTTCCCGAATGTTTTTATGTTTCCCTGGGAGTCGACGATTCATTGTGTCTGTGTGTGTGCTTTCCCCTCCTCAGTCTTAGGGGCTTCTAGGGCCGTCTGTACGGCCCTCGGGAACGGCCCAAGAGCCCTAAACATGTGGAACACGCTTGTAGCGTTTGTGCTCTTTTCGCATGCTCGCCTGTTCGCTCTGAGAGCGTCCAGGACGTCCCAAGGACCCCCCATGGCCCGCGCGTGCCCACGAGGCTCTCTCTCTCTCTCTCTCTCTCTCTCTCTCTATATATATATATATAGAGGGCCCATAGAGTCCCCCAAGAGGGGGAGCCTCAAGCTTTCCAGCGAGACCGCCAGCAGGCTACAAAGATGCCCTCAGAGGCCCACCCAGGATAGGAGGCGTCAAGTAGCACCCAACACACGCCCACACCATGCCTCGAAGGAGTTCCCGAAGTGCCTCTCTGGAGGCAGGAGAGAGGCGTGGAGTAAAAGGTTGTGGTGCCAAGGCTGGATCTGGCGAGGCTATCTATCGTAGATTGCATCGCCACTTCCACGATTGGCACCGCACCCCTTTATGCCAGCCCCCCTCTCCAACCTCCAGAGCCTCGCGACAGGCCCCCAGAGGCGCCTAAGAGTCTCCTGGCCCACGACCTAGGCGCTGTAGCGGGATGGGCCACTGGCGACCAGATTCAGTTCCCGGAAGGTTGCCCAGGGGCCCTCCTCAGAGGCCCCCGAGGGTCGGTCACCCAAGGCCCAGTTCCCAACCGCTCAAAATGCCAACTTTGAGAGTGCATGCAAAGCGCATCCTGACACCGCCCCTGAAGATCGGCTACCAAGGCCGAGCTTCCTATCAAGAGTGAAATCCTGTCAATCAGCGTAGATGCCAAGCAGTGGGATATGGCACCGCGGATGCGTAATAACATGTGATACAGGCTACGTGGTGCAAGCTACGTGGTGTCAGCTACGTGGTGCAACCTCGACTGGCCTCCCGAGTACGATGGGCGGCAACGACGCGGCGACAGCCGGCGATGCGGCGGAACCTCGTCGGAGCCCCCCAAGCGGGCGGCATTGGGCGGCGACGCGGCGAAGCGTCGGCGGACCCCCCCAAGCGGGTGACAGCGAGGCGGCAGTGGGCGGCGACGCGGCGAAACCTCGACAGAGCCCCCCCCAAAGTGGGCGGCCACAAGACGGCAACGGGCGGCGGCGCGGCGAACCCTCAACGGAACCCCCCAGAGTGGGCGGCAACGAGGCAGCAACGAGGCGGCGACGGGCGGCGACGCGGCGAAACCTCGACGGACCCTCCAAGTGGGCGGCGACGAGGCGGCAGCGGGCGGCGACACGGCGAAACCCCGGCGGACCCCCGAGAGTGGGCGGCCACGAGGCGGCGGCGCGGCGAAACCTCGGCGGACCCCCCCACGTGAACGGCAACGAAGCGGTTATGGGAGGCGTCGCTGTGAAACCTCGACGGAACCCTCCCAAGTGGGCGGCCACGAGGCGGCAGTGGGCGGCGACGCTGTCAACCCGGCGGCCACGAGGCGGCGGTGCGGCGAAATGTCGGCGGACCCCCCCACGTTGGCGGCAACGGGCGGCGGCGCGGCGAAACACCAAAACGGGCGGCAAGGAGGCGGCAACGAGCAGCAACGCGACGAAACCTCAGCGGACCTCCTCAAGTGGGCGGCAACGAGGCGGCAACGGGCGGCGGCGTGGCGAAACCTCTACGGGACCCTCCGAGTGGACGGCCACGAGGCACCAACTTTCGGCGACGCGGCGAAGCCTCGACGAACTCCCCCAAGCGGGGGGCGGCAGCGAGGCGGCAACGGGCTGCGACGCAGCGAGATCTCTGACCTCATCGAACCGCAGAGCAGCATCCCGAATGGCAATCACTGTGTGTGTGTGTGGGGGGGAGCAAGCACTTCGAAGCCGGACGCCAGCCGAGGGGCGCGGAGATGTGGGAGGAGTGGGCGAGGCCAGGGGGGGCGGGCAACTGAGGTGGAGGCATGGCAGGGGCAGAGCGGGCGGAAAGCACAGTGCTGCCTGTATGCGCGCTTGATCTCGGTGTCGGTGGCATCCGACGACACGCCGAGCAGGGCGTATGCGCTGTTCTGGGCGGAGGCGGCGCCGCGCCGCGGCACACAGCAGCCCGCCCTCTGCTCGATCATCCGCCCCCCCGCCCTGCCTCTGCCGCCGCCGCCTTCTGCTCGTGCCCCTGCTCCTCCTCGTCGTCTCCTGCCTCGTCCTCGTCCCCCTCACCCACGTTCTGCTTGGAGGGTGAACGAAGGGGTCTGCAACAGGAGGTCTTCAATGGGGGCTGAATGGCCCGCGCATGCTCCATGTATCGATCTTGCATGTGATCGGGTACGATTGGCATCCAATGTTGGTGGTCGCCCTGTTTTCTGCTCGTCCTCCCGGGCAGCCAGCTCTCGGGGAGCCGGGCTCCTTCGGAGGCGCGCCCAGCCCCGAGCCGCCCGGCAGGGCACGTTCGCAGGCCGCCGAAGGCTCAGCCCTGGCACGAATGGCGCGGCCCTGCCGACCACCAGCGGCGCGTGGGCGGGGCCCTCCTCGGCATCGCTGCTGTCCAGGCCGCTGTTCGGCGACTCCAAAGGGTGTGGTTTGCAAAGGGTGTGACTTGCCGCCGGCACCCTGGGGAACATCCGGGGGGGCACCCTATAGGGAGCGCGCGGGGACCTCGGTAGAGTTTTCCCGCGCCCCGAGGAGGCCCGACGAGGACAGTGTCGTGCCCCCCAGGCCCCAACGGTGCCTGTCGCAAACCACACCCCAGCGTAATTAACCATACCCTCCCAGACATGCGACGTCCTGATTTTTCCAGCACGGGGCCCCTGGAAGTCCCAACCCTTTCCCCGGGCCCGAGTCCTCATTCTGAGTCGTTTCGTGACGGCCCCGAGGCCCGCCGAGGACCCCCCCGAGGCCGAACATGACCAAAAGCCTCCCGTCCTGACTTTTGCTACGACGCGATCTTGAGCAGGGACCGACCGTCCCGGCATTCCTATAGTCCTACCACGAAATGTTCTCAGAACCCCAAAATGTTCCAAGAGCAAAACCAATGTTCTCAGAACATAAGCCCGATGCTTAAAAACAAAAACCGTACCAACCAGAAATGTCCTCAGAGCACTTCGTGGAAACCACAAAAAAGGTTCTTAGAACACTGCTTGGTAGGGCTATCGGCGAGCCAGGACGCTTCGCCACTGCTTGACGATCCTGCCTAGGCTCTTTGTAGATCAGGAGCGGCCAAGGGGGGGGGTCCAAGAGGGGGGGTGCAATGCAAATCATGACCGGCAGCATGTGCGCGCGGCCCAGCGGGGGGGGCCAGGGACGTAAGGAATCAAGAAGAGGCGCCCTGAGATCTGGGAGATATCATGGCCCCCGCCATGATATCCACCCCCCCCTAGTCATCACCCCCCTCTTTGCCGCCCCCGATGTAGAGTCGCCGAGCTCTCCGAGCCCGCCTCCGCGGCCGGGCCAGGAGAGGCCGGCGCGCCCGCGGGCTGGCTCGCGCACGGCCGAAGGGCCCCGGCGCGCAGGCAGTGCTCCGATCGGCCGCGCTGTGTTCGGCGGTGGACAAGCCTCCCTCTAGTAGACCTCCCCTTAGTGAAAGCGGCCTGGGACCGAAACCGACGGATCTGGACCCGCAAAAATGACGGCCGCGACGCCCTCTCGCGAAGCGAAAACGGCCAATTCCGCAATCGACCGTGTCAGGGTAGGAGGTCTATCCACCCCCGATATGTGTGCCCCCCCCCCGGGCAGGCCGCAGGGAGCTCCACGCGGGGCGCGCGGGCGGTGCGGGCCCCACGGCCGAGGCATCTATGAGAGCAGACGGCGCAGCAGCAGATCTACACCTGAGGAAGACCCAATCAGTGGATGGCTTCCCAGACAGGATCGCGTCGTGGAAAAATCAGGGCGCGAGGTTTTTGGCAATGTTCGGCCTCTGGAGGCCCTCGCCGGGCCTCGGGACCGTCAAAAAACAATTCTGGGCGAAAAACCGGTCCCGGGGAAAGGGTCGGGACTTTCGGGGACGCCGTCTTGAAAAAATCAGGACGTCGCATGTCTGGGTTGGAATCGTGGGATCGATAAAAAGATCGATGCGGAGATCGACCGGGAACCCTGGAGCCCGGGAGCCCGGAATATGTTAACCCACCGAGATCGGCCCGCGGAACCAATAGCCAAGAACCGGGGAACCCGGAACCGGGAACCTGGGAACCCAGCCGGCTACCAAAATCGGCGGAACGCTGTCGCCAAATCTTTCAATTTCCGCTAGGACCCCTTCAGTGCAAGCACTGATTTGGGGAATGATGATGTCAGCTGTCGTGGATACGCTTGGTCCTGCTTTGGCTTCAAACAAATACTGTCAGATCGGTCTCTGGCAGCGGTGCGGATCTCAAATGGGCCATTCTGAGCACGGGCCGCTCCTGCTTTGGCTACCATCACTGCTCCTGACCCTGCAGCGAGGGGCCGACTGCAATCGGAGCCAACATGAAACCGTGAAGCCGAGTTGGAGGTCACGGATGCGAGCGCGAAAAAATGTGGGGCACGTCCAAGATCCACCCGCTGTGCTGGACGCCCTGCGAGCTGCCTGCGGGCACTGCGCGCGCAGCCTTAATCAGCAAGCAGCCAGCTTCAAATGTAACGGGCACGTGTGAATTAGCACGTGTACGCAAGCTAAGTCGCGCTAGTTAGCGCGTGCGATTTAGTGCGGACGGCGTCGCTTGTGATCTGCCCCGGACCACGTATCGAGATGTGGAAACGTCGACACCTGGAGACGTCGCACGACCGCAATCGCCGAGAGGGTCCACTTGTCGCTCCGCCTGGTGCGTTCGAGGGGGGCGCCCTGCTGGCCTGATGTGCACGTCGCCGCGGCAACCTCAGTCTTCCTCCTCCACCTCCTCCTCCTCCTGCCTCCTCCTCCTCCTCCTCCTCCTCCTCCTCCTCCCCCCTCCCTCCTCCCTCCTCCTCCTCCTCCTCCTCCTCCTCCTCCTCCCCTCCTCCTCCTCCTCCTCCGTCCTCCTCCTCCTCCTCCTCCTCCTCCTGCCTCTCCCACTCCCCGCGCCGAGGCCCGCGGAAGTGGCGCGCGTTGCGCACACGGGCCTCGTGGAGGCGGGCGATCTCGTCAACGATCTCGCTCTTGAAGCACATCTGTCGCCCGATTCGCAGCAGGAGTGGGCGGGCAAACGCACGCGCCTAATTATGTGTGTGCGTGTGTGTCTGTGTGTCTGTCTGTGTGTATGTCTGTGTGTGTTTTTGTGTGTGTGTGTGTGTCTGTGTGTGTCTGTGTGCGTGCCTATGTGTGCGTCTATGTGTGTGTTTGTCTGTGTGTGTGTGTGTCTGTGTGTCTGTGTGTGTGCGTCTCTGTGTCTCTGTGTGTGCCCCTGCGGCCGCCGCTTCCTCGCCGCTCCCTCGCCGCTGCCGGGAGCCGCTCCCGCGGGCCACTGCCCGCCGAGGGGCCCGCCGCCGTGCTTGTCCCTGCTTTCCTCCCTCCCTCCCTCCTCCTCCCTCCTCCCCTCCTCCCTCCCTCCCTCCCCCTCCTCCCTCCTCCCTCCTCCCTCCTCCCTCCTCCCTTCTCCTCCCTCCCCCCCTCCCCCCTCCCTCCCTCCTCCCCTCCCTCCCTCCCTCCTCCCTCCTTCTCCTCCCTCTCCCTCCCTCCTCCCCCCTCCTCCCTCCCTCCTCCCTCCTCCCTCCCTCCCTCCTGCTTTCCCTTCCTTCTCTTCCTGGCTGCTGTGCGCTCGGCCGTCGGCCGCGCGCGAGCCTGAAGGGGCCCCAGGACACACATAGACAAGCACACACAAGAAAAAAAATGCCACATATTTTCCCGTATTTTGGGGGTTCTCGTCTTCCCCCCCCTTCCCATATTTTCCCACATTTTCTGGGGGATCAGCGATGAATTGTGTCTGTGTGTTTTCTTCCCTCCCGCGAGCCGCCCACCCGCAACGCCCAAGAGGTGTGTGTGTGTGTGTGCATCTCTCCGGCGCTGTCCCCTGCCGTCGCCGACTGCTTTGAATGGCCCGGCTTCTTCTCACCCCGTCGCGCCGGGGTTCCTCCTCCTTCTCCTCCTCCTCCTCCTCCTCCTCCCGTGCATCATGGACTCAATTTGCATACAGCGTGTCCCCTGTTACAATCCCGCCGGAGCAGTCGACCTCTGCCCAGCCGCCGACGCAAAAATGTGCGTGCATCTGCACAATTTACCAGGGGGTGGGGGATGGCATCTGCACGAACATCGCGCGAGTTATCCCACGCGTCGGCGGAATCTGCCCGTGGCCTCGCGCACTGAGCAGGCGACAAGGCGGCGGCGGAGCGGCATCAGAGGGGAATTGGGGTGGATAGTGACGAGGGTGCGGATGCGGAGGCGCAGGAGGAGCGAGGGGGGAAGAGGTCGATTACGAGGGGGGATTGAAAATAACAGAGGACGAAGGGAAATGCTAAGGTTGAGCGCATCGGAGGCGAGTCACGATCAGCCAGCTGAGGCGGCAGGCGGACAAGGAATCAGGTGCCTCTGCGTGGTTGGAGGTTGGGGGGGGCGATCGCAGTGGAACGGAGATCGGGGGGAACGAAAGGGGGGGATAGCGAAGGGTAGGGTAGAGAATCAGCTCACGTAGCTGATTATCCCAGTGCCTCCCGGCGCCGGGAGGCGCCTGTGTATCGAGGAATGGGCCCTGCGGCGGGGCCGAAACCAGCTGCACGCAACAGATTTCGTACCCCCCCCCTTTCCCTATCCCGCCCTTTCGTTCGGCCCGAGGGGAGTTTTCCGTCGGGAACTCGTTCGTGTTCGTGTCGTGCGTGCGGGCGAGGCGGAGCTGCGCGGGCGCGCGACGAAGAAATGATGCCAGCGTGGCTGCTGGGAGGCTGTGGTGCAACGTGGCTCCGCCCCTCCCCCCCCCTCCCCCCCCGGGCGCGTGGTTCTGGCCTTCCACGAACAAAAACCAAGGAGGAGGAGGAGGAGGAGGAGGAGGAGGAGGAGGCTAGACTCGACCAGAAAGGTCATGCATCTTAAATTCAGACCAACCTAAAGTCCCCTCCAACCCCTGACCCTAGCGCCCCCCAGCCGCAGCTGGGAGGAGCCAGCGATCAGGGGTCGAAGAGGTCCTGAGGTTGAGAGGCCCCATGGCCCCGCTGCCTGGCCGCCAGGGCCCTCAAGAGGAGGAGGAAGAGGAGGAGGAGGAGGAGGAGGAGGAGGACCCGTGATGGTTGAGTAGGGAGCCTGGCGCGCAGGAACACCCCGTCGGATGCAGGCGCAAGACGAACATACGAAGCAAGAAGGAGGGGGGAAGCAGAAGGGGGCGAGGGACACGAGAGATAGAGGGAGGGGGTTAAGGGGCAAGAAGCATGGAGGGAGGTAAGGATGGATCCATGGGGAAGGGGTGGACAAGGAGCCCAGGAAACTAGGGAGGGGGGCGGCATTGGCCGCTGAATTCCAACCATGCGTTCTAACAAGGTCTCCACGAGCCGATGCTGCGCCCGAAGAACTGCCTGACGCTCCCCCATGTAGGGAGGCGGAGATTGCAGCACGTGGCAGGAATTTCTGGAGGGTCGACGAAACCGGACTTCAAGAGTATCTAGCCCCGTCAGTCCCGTTGCCAGCGTGACATGCACTCGCATGATGCACACCGAGGACGCGATGCCGTGCTGAGGCAGCGAAGCTGGAGTGATACTGCCCCTGGAGATGGAACGCCACGCGGTGAAACAAGCACTGACTGGACTGGCGACGGGGGGGCAAAGAGGGCAGCCATGAAGCTCACGGCGTGCACATATCACGCGCCTGCCATCCCTGCGTGAGTGAGCGGCCAGGGCGGGCGCACTGCGAGATCGAGTTGCCCATCACCCAGCATCATCGATGCAGTCCCAGCCTGTCTCAGGATGTACTCGTCCAGAGCGCGGTTCATCTCCTTCGAGCTCCAGGAGGGAATCACATTATAACATGACTCGCGTCACACACAATGCCGACCTTGCAATTATCTATTCCGAAATGTTGCGCATGTTAAGCTGCCGTCTGGTGCAGACGCACAGCGTTTTTGCGAGTCAGGTTCAACCTCTGAGCGCAGGCGATTCAGAGGCTCAACTCTTCGAAAAGTGCTTTCCCCTTGGGGGGGCATTCGTCTCTGCTCCAGGTGTACAAAGTTCCCCTCTCCCACTCGAGCGGCCAGCAGCCCGAAACCATGACAACCCCCCACCATTCCTGACAGCAACACAAGCACACAAAAAAGAGCACATTGCGGCAAAAAGCGGGCCGCGTGCTGGTACCAACTCGTCATGTGGCATCTGATGTTGACAAGGGCTCCGTGGGGTGCGCCCATGTTCCGGGCGGTGGCCCACCAGTCTTGACAACAGAGCCACTGTAAAATTATGACGGGTGCCAGAGCGCCACGCATCGTGCCGGCCACCACGCTGGCCACTCTGCATGAGCCTGTGCCCAGACATGCGACGTCCTGATGTTTTCAATACGGGGTCCCTGAAAGTCCAGACCCTTTCCCCGGGACCGGTTTCTCGTCCGGAGTCGTTGTTTGATGGTCCCGAGGCCAGGTGAGGGCCCCCCGAGCCCGAAATTGGCCAAAAACCTCCCGTCTTGATTTTTGTTATCGACGCGATCGTGTCTAGGGTGGTGAACTTGTCGGGCGTGTCGACGTGCCCGGAGTGTGCTGCCGCCCGAGCTGGCGGACCTGGCACACGCTGCGCGCGTCGCGCGGCGGCAGCACGTGGCGATCGTGGCGCACCTGGCGCGCCAGGCACGCTCGGGCCCCTGGGGCTTCTGGCGCACCACGCTCGCCACTGGCCGTCTGGGGGGGGGATCTCTCGGGGGCCGGTCGGGGCCTTCTGGGGCCATCTTGGGCCCTTCGGGGGCGCCCGCGTTGCAGGCACCCTGTGCGCAGAGGGCTTCGTGAAAGCCTCACATCTCTAGAAGAAGCACGTGCGTGTCCAGGTTCATCCGAACCGTGCAGGGGAGATGTAAGGAAGAACGCTGGGAGCATGTATGGAAGAGAGCAATCGACGTGGATGAGCTGGGGAATACGTCCATCAACTTTGTGTGAAGAGACGTTTCTCAAATTGTAGGCTTCTCTACAGACACATTGGCATTCCTATTTTTATATCTTTATTACCCGAACCCCCCCCTAAACCCCCCACCCCCCAGGGACGCCCTGGACGCCCTTTCGGACGTCTCAACGGCCCCGTGGACGCCCTTGGAAAAAGGTCCGCTGGCCCTTCCGGGCGTCCCAGGGCGCTTTGCGGGGCCCTGCGAGCAGACTCAAGGCGATCAGAGGGGTCATCGGAGAGGCGCAAGAGAGACCCAAGACAGCACAAGAGCGCTCCACGAGGAACCTCGGTGGTCTGAAGGCGGCCCAGGGGGCCCCCAAGACGCCCCAAGAGGCTGCTAAGAGATTCCCGAAGAAGCAAGCATCGCCCTATTCCCCATTCCCTTGGGGAAATGTATACGTTTAACATATCCGCTGTTTGGGACTTCGCGGCGCCCAAGACGGCCCGATAGGGCCCCCGATATCGCCCCAACACGGCACAAGAGGCCCCCCAGAGGGTTTGAAGACGGCCCAAGAGGGCCCCAAAACTGCCCCAGGGAGCCCCGTGACTGCCCGCAAGAAGCCCGAGATGCCCCTAGAATGCTCCCAAGAGAGACCCACGAAAGCCATGGGAGACCCCCAAGAAGGCCACTGGAGGCCCCCAAGAGGGCCCTAGATGGCTTCAGAAGACCTCTGGAGGCCCCAGCTCCCCAAGACAGCCCGAGAAGGCCCCGGGACGGCCCAAGAGGGCCCCAGGACGGCCCAAATGAGCCCAACAAACACCCAGACGGCGTTTTCCTACGAAGTACATCGAGCTCACTCGACGATCTTGGTTCCACGCTTAAGGCTCGAAGATTAACTTCCTCGATCGAGGGAGACAGGCAAGGGATCTAGATTCGAAGTTCGGCGATCGACGATTTCCTGAGTGCCTGGGACCCTCCAGGCATTCAGGAAGCTACCATAAATCTACCTGCTCGGAGCTACTGCGACTCCTTCGGCCTGTCATGGGCACGCTCCTTACTTCCTCAAAGGACCTTCGCGCGTGAAAAAAACATCATTCCTTCCCCACTCCTGCGCACAAGCGTGCAAGCGCATCGGGCGAACGCTGTGTCAGAAGGCACCAAGGATATCAGAAATATGTGCCGGCCGCCCGTCCAGGCTTCCAAGTCCCCCCCGCTTGAGCAAGCGATGAATTATTGCTTTGCCAGGGAGGGTCCGGAACAAAGCGCATGGCGCGAAGCGCCAATGCAGTCTTGTATTTACATACATACATATATGTACACATGCGTACGCATACGCAAACAATGCTTTCCACCGACGGGCTGACACACACACACACACATGACATCATCTTAAGCAAACGTATGGTTTCCTGACATGTACGCAACGATTGATGCACATGGTGTTTCTGATGCATGTCGGGTAACAAATTTCAAACAAACAAATGTAGGCTGGGACGTGACGCCGCGACCTATGTGAGGAGCGCGTCCGATGTTCAAAATGTTGAGGATGTCCCACACGAGTGTGCCAGGAAACAGCGCACGCGGTGACACCATTCATCTGCTCTGATTTCTACTTCCTCGGAGGGGTGCGTGTGATATCCTGTTTACCCGCACACACATGAAGTATTGATATGACGGACAAATTTCATGTCCCTGGTCCGCTCTGGATGGACCCTGGAGTTTCAATATGGCCCCAAGAGGTTCCCTGGAGAGTCACAAGAGGGCCCCAAGGTGAGATGTTTCGAGTTCCGCAGGGGGTAACCTACCAAATGATGGGCCGCGTTGTTCCCAACCCTGCTAGGTTGGGCCGTCGTTCGGAGAGCACTGCTCTCGCGTCTCTTTCTCCTCCTCCTCCACCTTCCTCCTCTAGCCTCCTACCTATTACCTGGGCCTTGCCTTTGAAGGGATACGAACCGCGCAGCTATCGCGAACTCTCTCTCTCTGTTGTGTTTGGTTCTCGTTTGGGAATGCACTGCTTGCTCCAGGTGTCCTCCTTTCCCTCCACCTGCGGGGCTGCGAACTGCGCAATTGTCGCCACTGTCGTGGGCTTCTTGAAGGCCCAGCCCAATGGGGACAAACGCGCATCCAGACTAGACCTCGCGGCTCCCTGGGGCCACCTGCGCAACTGTCGCCACTTGTGCGGGGTCCTGGGATGTCCAGCGCAGTGGAGACAGACTCACATCCAGACTCACCCTCGCGGCTCTCTGTGGGGGCTGCTAGGCAACTGTCGCCACGTGCGTGGGCTCCTGGGATGCCCAGGGCAGTGAGGACATTTCCGCATCCAGACTCACCCTCGCGGTTCCCTGTGGGGGCTGCTAGGCAACTGTCGCCACGTGCGTGGGCCCCTGGGGTGCCCAAGGCAGTGAGGACATTTCCGCATACAGACTCACCCTCGCGGCTCCCAGGGGGGCGCTGCCACCGGAGCACCTATCACTGCTTTCGTGGGCTTCGGGGGAGGTGAGGCGTGAGGTGTGACGGTTCTCTGGGCCCCGAGGAAGGCAAGTCCCACTTTTCTTACCTGCGCGAGAGGGTCGCCCCGTGGCATAGGAAAACAGAGGAGAGCAGCAGGGGAAGGGGGGAGAAGAAGAGGAGAAGGCAGCAGCAAAAGCAGCAGTTCTCTGGAGAGCGTGTGAGGTGCGTGAGAGTGTGTGAGGTGTGCCGCCCAGAGGAACCCGGCGGCGAGAGCTGGCACTCCCGGGTGCCATCCAAGTAGCCACACGGAGTGCTGCGCCTGTTCGGTGGCGGACCTTGGCGCGAACGCCTGGGATATCGAGTCGGCGTGCCCTACAGCCGGGGCCCTGAAGAAGGAACCCTTTTGGTTGGGGAGGGGCTCCGTGTTCCTTAATTGTTTCGCAGCTTGCCTTAGGTTTCCCTTAGGTTTTCGATATGAAATCGAAGTTTAACTCATGGAAAATAGGGGCCTCGTTCCTTATTTAGGGTTCCTTAGGTCAACGCCCCGACTGTACTCTAAACCGCCTAGAATGCCGCAAATGGGTGGCCCGCGACTGGCGACTGCCTCTCCAGTACGATCATCGCGTGGAAGCTCAATTCCAATTTGGGCGAGGTTGGCTTCCTTCGGGCTGGCACGCCATCTTGGTTTGCTAGAGAGGCTAATGCTGCACTGACTCGGCTCCTCCAGCTGCTCCTTCGGCAATTTGGTGGCCTCCTCCTCGGCCTGTCAAAATCACGATGCTGGAATGAAGTGTCCAGGCTGCACACAGCGATGCACACGCCAGCGCTGCACGGCGTAGCGAAAAGTAGTGTCCAACTCAGTCATGCAATGCCCGCCGCGTAGCTGTACCATGCAACATGTCAGAATACAGAATCGGTGTCTGCATGTCCGGGCAGGTAGTAAAATGTGCAGAGCCGCATGCTTCCATGCAACATGCGCGAAATACGTGGAGCCTGGGCGTCATTAGTGCATGCAGCAATCACACACAAGCGCACTGGTATACAGTTTGGCGCATGTAAGCACGCCTTCTGCTTGTCGACCTCTTCTCGCTCCTACCTGTCAACGCTTCCACTTCTGGGCGTCTACATATTCAACTCCCAAACAACCATATGATTGCCTGGACAGGCAGACCTACGTTCTAACAGCCGGACTTCTTATCGGCATCCAGGGAGCAACCCATAGCGTCAACCATTAGCCAGCAATTCCGGACTGCGTTGGCTGGGGTCGCAACCTAAAGCGCGACAGGGACACTCCGTTTGAGTCGCGGAGGCCGAGGGCGCAATCCGCTGCGAGACAGCGCGCAACCTGCCTCCTTTCGGCGTCGCACGGCGCTCTCCCCCTGGCGCCATCCGTGGTGCAGCCCGTGGCGCAGCCCATGGCGCAGCCTGCAGCGCAGCGCTCTGCGCACTCCATGGCGCAGCCCACCGCGTCCACCCCGTGGTGCAGCCCCCCGTGGAGCCCACGGCGCGGACCCCGGGCGCGCAAGCATCCGGGGACACCAAAAGGTAGCGATGCCGCCCCTCCCCGGGCCTCTCCCGGGGTGCGCTCTGACCGAGAGTTTCGGAGCGAATCCAGCGGTGGCGACGAGGGCCTCCCAGGAGGCCCGAAAAGGGGAGCCATGGGCGGATGGCAGAGGTATGGGTAAATACCTTTTTCTCCTCTGAGTACTGGCGCACAAGCTATAGTGAAACATGTGGCGCAATGCATGGCGCAACCTCTGGCGCAATCTACTGTCTGAAAAGCTTTTGCTTATAATGTGCCGCGGCGGCCCCAGCGACACGCTAAGAGACCGTTTTGGGGGAATCGGCGAAAACCCGGGATCGGAATGGAGGAGGATCGGGAGGAGGAGGAGGAGGAGGAGGAGGAGGAAGAGAAGGAGGAGGAGGAACAGGAGGAGGAGGAGGAGGAGGAGCAGGGGAAGGAGAGGAGGAGGAGGAGGAGGAGGAGGAGGAGGAGGAGGAGGAGGAGGGGGCCGGCCGATAACCTGACCTTCGCGCTGTGGGCAGCCCTGCATATGCCCGCGCCCCCCCACCCCGGACCTGCACAACCGGCAAGAGGCGAGGGCGAGGGGAGATGGCGACCCAAAATCAGTCTCTGATTCTGCCCTGCGAGCGGATACAGCGTGTCGCTCTGCTCCGCGGCGTGGACGGCGGTGGAAAGCGCTCGTGGCGCTGACGCTTCAAGACAGGGCCGTGAGGATGGCGTGTCGCGTCGAAGCGTGGTGTGATGGGCTTGTTTTCCACCACCACCACCACCATAAGTTGGATGGGGGAAAGGAGGAGGAGAGGAGGAGGAGGAGAGAGGAGGAGGAGGAGGAGGAGAAGGAGGGGGAAGAGGAGGAAGAGGAGGAGGAGGAGGAGGAGGAAGAGAAGGAGGAGGAAGAGGAGGAGAAGCATGGGGAGGAGGAGGAGGAGGAGGAGGAGGAGGACCCCCTGCCCCTCCAACTTATGGTGGTGGTGGTGGTAGTGGTGGAAGACAAGCCCATCATGGTGGGCCAGAACCGGCGGAGCGGCACGCGAAGCCAATAGAATAACAAAAACAATAGCATAAACATTAACTTTTGGCGCTCCGCGCGGAGTTCTTAGATCTGCGTTGTGCCCCCCATCCCTGGCGCGCGGAGCGCGCCAGGGGCGGCGCTGGAGGCACCGCCGGGGGGGCCCCAGCGCGGATCCAGGAAATCCACGCGGAGCGCCAAAAGTATACGTTTTCCGCGTTTGCGCAGCATATGTTGCAACCAGTGGCACCATACCTTGCGCAACTCTGGGCGCAGACCTATGGCGCATAAGCCCACAGCGCAGCCTGTGGCACAATACGTAGCGCAACCGACGGCGCAACCTTCGAAGCACCCTCTGGCACAAACCGATGTGGCCCAACAGCAGATAAATGCAGACGGGAGGGAGGGAGGCAGGACAGAGGAGAAAGGAAAATGGACAGAGGACACATGGGGAGTGAGAGGGGAGCGTGAGCTTGGGCCAGGGGGAGGGCCGACGAGACGGGAGAACGGGAGGGGGACGAGGGAGAAAGGAAGAGGACGGAGTAACAGATGCCGGATGAAGACGACGATGAAGACGAATATTACACCGAACGCGAGGACGAGCAAGCGGACGGAGCTAAACATTTGCCTTCATGGTAGCCTCTGCGGCGGGGCTACGCCCGGTCTTTGCTCGCTGGAGCACACACGGCGAGCTGTCTTGTGATTGGTCCAGGCCTGGCCATGGCTACAACGACAGGCTTTGAAAACAAGGACTCGAATGCAAAGGCAACTGGGGTTCCACACATCCAGCCACCCATCCAAACAGGAACAACAGATACGTAGCGAGCTCAGGACACGGCAAGCACAGCACGCGTTCAGGTATGGGCGCTGCGATGCATGCGTGCTCTGATTTCGCCCCGCATGCACCAATGAAGCCATTGGCATGCTGGCCACGCCAGTCTCGACCACTCGATCCTGGAAAACACCAGACTAGACCAATCAAGTGGTGTGGCATGTGTGCTGGGACTTCTCACGCAAGTCTCCTGCGAGGATGTGGGATGCATGCATGGGTGGGAGGGGATCGGGATGAGCTGGCGGCGATCGAAGTATTGCAGAGTCGCGTCAGGGGGTGGGCGGCCTTGCGAGAAGTTGGGGGCTATGACACCGCGGAGCCCTGCTTGAAATGTCCACTCCCAGGGGGTGCCCCTCGCAGAAGGCTGCCCCCCACCAGCCCTAGATCATGTTTTTGCGGATGGCTGGACTGAAAGGGGCCGCGAGACCTGCAATGCCAATGGCAGGTACACAAACGAGCGCCCTCCCAAGAGAACCCATAATCGAATCGGTAAGTCGGATCGGCAATCGAAATACATCGAATTGGTGAAAGTCGGCAGCCGAGTCGGGATAAACCGAATCGGCGGACATCGGCAAACTAGTATGCCTCCAAAAAGAAATCGACACCCAAATTGGAATCCCAAATCGAATCGAATTGGAATCGGAAGCAGTCGAAATCGAATCGGATCGAACAAGAGGAATCGAAGCGAGCCCTGCCCTGCGGACAAGCCCAGCACGAAGCACGCGAGAACGCGCCGCACGCTCCCAGGCCTCCTGCGTCGTGAGCTTCAGCTCCCGCGACAACGCCTGCAAAAATGCCGGGAGCTGCCCTCGCCCGCCTCCTCCCCAGAGGAAGAGGAGGAAGAGGAGGAGGAGGAGGGAGGAGGAGGAGGAGGAGGGGGAGGAGGAGGAGGAGGAGGAGGAGGAGGAGGAGGAGGAGGAGGAGCAGGAGGAGGAGGAGTGGACGGAGGAGGAGGAGGAGGAGGAGCGATCCCCAGAGGTCTGGACCCCTTCCCCGGGACTGGTTCTTCGCCCCGAATCATTCTCTGCGGCCCCGAGGCGTGGCACGGGCCCCGCGGGGGCCAAAGAGGGAGAACAACCTCCCGTCGCGACTCGTTCACAGGGCGACGGGGTCCGGGTCCCGTTCCTCATCCTTTCAATGACGCAGACGCAGACAGACGCAGACGCGCGAGTCCGCCGGCCGGCGGGCCGGCAGGCCCCTTAGGGGCGGCGCGGGCGGGCCGGAGCCCAGTCACAGGCATGTGAACTTCAAGAAGTCGCCTTCGAGGTCTGCCCAGAATTTGGAAGTTGTAGCACTTTGTAGCCATGTGCTGGGCGCGCTTCGAAACAACGCCTTCTGTAGAAATGCCGTGATGTCGTCACTCCACCGGATTCTCTGCCCGCCTTGTCAGCGTCGTGCTGCCCGGGGGTCCTGGATATCAGGCTCCCATGCCGCCGCCAATCGGGCCAAATTGTGGTGTGGTTGTGTAGCAAATCGCCCAGCCCATCTCCATATACGCTTGTGAAATCTTGTAAACAAGCCATTCCTCCACGTGTGCGCGCGCCTCAAGGTCTGAGGCGGCGTGGGTAGCCCTGCGAATGAAATTGTCCCAGGATTCAAGGTCGGATTCGTCCCCGGCGTCGTCAATGTCTAGGTGTTTTCTGTCGCTGGGCGTGCTGTCGTTTGTTGTGCTGCCGTCATGCTGTTCAGGGTCGGGGGTTTGGTTGTGTCTTCGTAGGTGCTGGTGAGGAGTTGTCTCTGTCGGCGCCTCGAGGTGTTGACAATGAATCGTAACATGCGTCTCTAAGTGCGTCGGAGTGTCAGGAGCATGTTTTTGGTGGGAGTCACGTTGCGCAACCATACGTTCCGTTGGCGTCACCGTCCCGCTGAAGAGCCTGAGTCTGCTGCGAAGGGTGTACCGGCTGTTTGTGAGCTCGTTGCGGGACTGGTTGGATGTGCGCCACCCATTGCAAATATGTTTGTGAGCTCGGTGTGGTGGAAGTCGTGCAACGTCAGCTTGCGACCCAGGTACTTGGTGCTCTCCTCGGCGCTGAGGATTTGGACCTTGTCGTCGTCGATGTCCACGTGTGTAATGCATCGCCCCTGCCGCCTGCTAACATGTGTGAGGATTTTCGTTCTGCCGGGGTGCAATGCAAGTCCACACTTCGCAGCTTCGTGTTTGAGATCTCGCAAGCTTGACTTGCCGTCAGACGCTAGGAGGAGTACGTCGTCAGCAAACCTGAGGTTGGTCAGGCGCGTCGTCTGTGCCCTTCAAAAATGTATGCCGAAACCCTTTCGTATCCAAGTTGGTTTAATGTTCCGGAATCTGTGCTCGAGTAGCGCGTTGAACAAATATGAGCTGAGCGGGTCCCCTTGCTTGACGCCGCGCTCACATGTTGAATTGTCTGCTTCTGACGTCGGTGCTTACCGTGGCTTTTTGGTCGTTTTAGAAATTCTGCAGCAATGTGATGTAGGGTTCCGGCACATTTTGTTCCCTCAGAGTTTCCTACAAACACGAGTGGCCGACGCAATCAAAAGCCTTCTTGAGAAACGATAGCAGCTGTCCAGAGTGGGAGCTGCCATTCGTAGGACTGCTCGTAAAGTAAAGTTGCAGAGAAGAGGTGGTCCTCTGAGCTCAAGCCCCTGCGGAAGCCAGCTTGGTCAGGTGATTGCTGTGCGTCGAAAAGTGTGTCAAGTCGGTTGCACAGTAGTCGGGACATGATTTTGCATAGTAACGGTATGATGGCGATTGGTCTGTAGTTGCTTGGTAGTTGCGGGTCTCCGGACTTATAGATTACGCTGATGTTGGAGTGTCTCCACTGTTCCGGCGGTGTCTGCTCAGGTGCTACAGTGTCGTTGCAGAGCACCAGCAAATGCTTCTCAATCGTGTTCCCCCTGCTTTCAACAGCTCCGCGGTGAGTCCAGCCGTGTACTTGCACTTGCCGTTTCTGAGGTGCTTCACTGCTTGGTGCAACTCCTCGTGGGTGAAGAGTGGAATGCTCTGTCGAAGTCGCCGTGCTGCTTTTTCTTAGGCGCCAGGGGAGCTGTTGGGCGTAGGTAAGGTTGTGCTTTCAGGGCGCCGGTACAACTCCTCATAGAAGTCCGCGAAGACGTCTGCTATCCCCTGTCGGCCCTTTCAGTGGCGGCATCCGAACCCTGCCCCCGCCAGCCATCGACTCTCCGAAATCGATGGGGGGCGGGGGCAGGGCTCGGATTTCGCCAAGCGTTCCACGCATTCCGAACCCCACTCCGCCGCCCATCGAGTTGCCTGACTCGCTTATCGGCGAGGGCAGGGCTCGGGTTTTGCCGCCGATCCTCATCCCCCAGCCCGCTGCTGCTTCCCCCCCATCCCCCACACCAGCACTTCCCGACCCCTTTTTTGCGAGGGGCGAGGGATCCCAGCCCGACGCTCGCGGCAGCCAGGCCAGGGGGAGGGACGAGACAGGCAGCACTCCTCCTTCTCCTCCTCCTCCTCCTCCGCCTCCTCCTCCTCCTCTCCTCCCCCTCCTCATCCTCCCTCCTCCCCCTCCTCCTTCTCCCCCTCCTCCTTCTCCTCCATCTCTCATCCTTCTCCTCAACCTGCCCTCCTCCTCCTCAACTCCTCTCCTCCTTCTTCCTCCTCCTCTCCTCCTTCCTCCTCTTCTCACCCTCCTCCTCCCCCTCCTCCTCCTTCCTTCCTCCACTCCTCCTTTCTCCTCCGTCTCCTCCTCCCCTTCCTTCTTTTTTTTCTCCTCCTCCTCCTCTCTCTCTTATCCTCCACACCTCCCCTCCTCCTCACCACCCCTCCTCCCCCTCCCCCTCTCCCCCTCCTCCTCCTCCCCTCCTCCTCCTCCTCCTCGCCCTCCTCGCCCTCCTGCCCTCCTCCTTTTTCCTCCTCCTCCCCTCCTCCTTCCTCCTCATCATATCAATCTTCATCATCATCATTCATCAGATCAGCATCATCATAATCATCATCATCAGCAGCATCATCTTCAACATCACATCAACATCATCAGTACAGCATCATCGCATCAGCTTCATGCATCAGCATCAGCACAGCTCATCTTCTTCTTCATCATCATTCATCATCATCATCATCATCATCAATCATCATCCTCATTTATCACAACCACCAATCATCATTCAGCATAAGCATCAGTGCAACCTCTTTCATCAAGCAGCATCATCAGCTGCATCCAGCCTCATCATCATCAGCAGATCATCATCAGCAGCATCATCATCATCATCATAATCATCATCATCATCAGCATCATCTCCATCATCATCAGCATCATCATCATCCTTATCGTCAACATCATCCGCCTCCTCCTCCTCCTCCTTCACCTCCTCCTCCTCCTCGTCATCCTTCTCCTCCTCCTCCTCTTCCTCCTCCTTCTTCTCTTCCTCCTCCTCCTCCTCCTCCTCCTCCTCCTCCTCCTCCTCCTCTGCCGCCTCCTCCTCCTCCTCCTCCTCCTCGGGCGGTTTCGCCTGGTTTCGGGAGAGGAGACGGAGGCGGAGGCGATGGAGGAGGGGGAGGAGGAAGAGGAGGAGGAGGAGGATCAGGGGATGAGGGGAGGAGGAGGAGGAGGAGGAGGAGGAAGAGGAGGAGGAGGGAGAGGAGAAGGAGGGGGAGGAGCAGGAGGACGAGGAGGAGGAGGAGGAGGAGGAGGAGGAGGAGGAGGCGGAGGCGGGCTCGCAAAACTGGCGCAGAAATATGGGCTCTAGATGGCTCCATCCCAATCGTCCTCCCACGGCGGCGGTCTCCTGCCGTCTGTGGGGGTCCCCAGGGAAGCTCCTCATCCATCCGAGGCCCCCGGAGCAGCCCCAGGCGCTCAGGGCGCCTCGGGCCTTGGACCGCCTGCTCCTCCTCCTCCTCTCCTCCTCCTCCTCATCCTCCTTCCTCCTCTCCCTCCTCCTCCTCCCCCCCTCCCCTCTCTGCCTCCTCCTCCTCCTCCTCCTCCTCCTCCTACTCTTCCTCATCCTCCTCCTTTCCTCCTCCTCCTCCTCCCCTCATCCTCCTCCTCCTTTTCCTCCTTTTCCTCCTCTCCTCCTCCTCATCCTCCTCCTCCTCCTGTCCTTTCCCTCCTCCTCTTCTCCTCCCCATCCCTCCCCCTTGGCGGAAGGGGCCGCCGCGCTCTTGCTCCCCCGCCAGAAGCACCCCCCCTAGGGCAGCGGCGCCCTCGGCCCTCCAGGGCGCGGGGGCCCGCAGGCCTATAGGGAGCGGGTGTTTCCCCGCGCGGGGGAATCGCCCCGCCCCGCGGGCAGGGCAACCCCCGGGGGGGCGTCGGGAGCAACA